TTAAGGATTACTTTTGGGTAGATTGGAATTAACTTTGCTTTAATTGAGCTAGTGTTGCAATATTACTTTATTTGAAATCAGATTATACATTTTATTGTATAATACTGTACACAATTAAAGCATGAATATCTGCATGTATAACAATGTTTTTTTGTTTCTTTGAGAAGATTAAGCTGATTTACAATTGTTTTCTATTCTTTAATCAGTCTTATATTATTAATACATTTATCATGCTAATAATGCAAATCATTAACACTTTTGTTGCCCCGGCGGGCGACCCGCCACACACCTCAAGGTAACCCAAGCAGTGCGCGTGAACTCGCCACCACCCACAAATGTTTATACTCTTTTTAGCTTTCTGACCTAAATTTTCGTGCTATGTTTTTCAATTTGGTATCAAATTGTTTGCAATAGAATGCTCTAAAGTAATATGTGTATATAAGAACATACAAGTCTCACGTTTCTATACTTTAGACCTGCCGCGCACCGCAAGGTAGGCTGAGAGCTCACCATCACACAAAAATGTTTATACTTTTTTCAGCTTTCTCACTTCAATTTTCGTGCTATGTTGTTCAATTTGGTATCAATTTTTTTGCAATAGAATGCTGTAAAGGGATATTTGCATATAAGAACGTTTAAATCTCACTTTTCTATACTTTTGATGAAAAGTCAATAACTTTCCCTCATACATGTTTCTTTAAATGCTTTCATCATGGATTGGCTCTGTTCTTGATCAGTATACATCTGGAGGTCAATTTGCAGTGTTTATAAAGCCGGTAACAACAAATACCCGAGATAAAATAATCAGAATGGGGAACTTTTCGACTCGAGGGAAGGCCGCGGGTGTCACGAGCGAAGTCACGAGAATAGTGATCCTCCAGCGTGGGTGGGCGCCCACACAACGCAGCCAGGATGCCACATGGGATATACAGAGAATGGGAAGAAGTTGGTGTGCATTTTAAAACAAGTCCTATAGTATTTAGTCAATAAATAGAATTTTTACAAAATGTTAAATTATTGATGCCATTTGCGTCATCACGCATACTCCGTATTTTGGTTTTATGACGGAATATGCGGCATTAGGCAGTGAAAGGGTTAATGTGTCCAAACTAAAAGAAGAAAATTTTCAGAAAAGTGCTTCATCTCTATTTTTTAAAAGAATTTAACCACTAACTGTATCAGAATCGAGACCTTTTACTGACATTGACATTGGTAATAGAATAATTAGAAATTGTATCATCCCATCAATAATTTTTTTATTAGTTAATTTAATTAAATTTCTATATTTTGATTGTATGCTTCGATATGTTCATTTGGTACAATAGTATTGTAACATTTCTACTATTGAGCCACTTTGTTATGAGGTATGTGATAACACCAAATTCTACACAACTCCTTAGCATTCATTGAAATAAGTTTCCAGATCACCCACACCACAGACCACCCTCCTGCCTCCCACAGCCACACCAGGGAAACACTGTTACTCCACAAGAACATTATGGAAACCATTGGTCTAGTAATTTGTTTCACAACATCTCCCAACTGCTGGTACCTGTTTAACCTCTGCACTGTGTATGTGATTTACATTACAACCCTGTGGTGTGCAAGAACAAGACAAAAATTAACATTAAAATGATATTAAAATGTGGTTCCCTGATCTTTTGGAAAGGGGGGGAAAGTGAGTGTAGCTTGCTTTGGCTGTGATGAAGGTGCTACTGGCACATGGCAAAGTGCCGACCAATGTACTACATACACAGATAACAGCAGTGTTTGGTTAGTGCTATCAAATTTTTGGTCACTAAATCCTGAATATCAATAATTTTTCACATGTTCATTTTCTAAAGGAGCATGAAATCTGTTAGCCTCAGTTTTGTTGTGTATGCATCATACTGTGTACCTTGTGGTGATGATCACCTGCACCGGGTTCACCAATATATTAAATCTTGTAGTCTTTATCATGTTAAGGAACTTTGACATCGCTATCATTAAATTATTGCAGTTATTTTTTTCATCATTAAGTGATGCCATGATCACGAGCTGCATGGCAATGCTGTGAGCTCCTCCTGTGAGCTGCTGCTGCATGTGCTGCTCCTTGCTGCTGTCTTAGTACAGAGACCCTCACACTCAAGAGGAGTGTTCCAGTTGTTTTCCAAGATGGCATCTATTTACTGGAGACCAGAGGAAGCAGATTTAAGCCCCCATGTACCCATGAAGTTTTAAATCATACATTAGACCTAAAATCGACCCCTCTTGCCATACATAGTCAAAAGGTTAAAGAGCAGGGGGCTCCAATTCAATAACACTTGCAATCTAACTTGTATGGTATTCCTGGTGCCATCAGCCATTAAAGACCCTGAAGACAAAACCAGATGAATGTGATGTAGGATAGTCAAATTGAACATCGGACAAAGAACGAATCTGTTCAGAGTCGTTAAGTCAAGAATGAACCAGGGTTCCATCAAGTCCCATTTGGAGCAACTCTGACACCCATTGCAAGAAGGGTATCCTCTCTACTATCCATTCCCAACTGTCCCACTATGACTTTACAGAGTAGTAGAGTAGACAGCTGAAACTAACCCTAGGACACCCAAAGTGGGCAGGGAAAACCCACCCTTACACTCTTTGGAGAAAGACAAAGTAGTGTGTGAAGAACTCAACAAACCAGATTGGTGTTCAAGGTAAATTAACAGCATTGCCAGAAACAACATTAGACAGAATTGAAGTTAATGTATTAAGACATTAAAAGAGACCTAGAGGAACTGGATGTAGGGGGAAAAAAAACCAGGGCCAGACCAGATATCAAGATGGTTCTGAAGGAAGATGTAGGGGCTCCTGTGTTATCCATTAACTTGTAGTGTTCAACATTATGTTAAAAAGGGGATAAACATGAAACACTGAACTAGAGGCATTATTAACATGCATTCCATACAAAATGCTGGAGAAAACCACTACATAAAGGATTATAGATTATTTAGGGGTGCATAAATTTTAAAATAGACAACACAACTTTAGAGGGGAAATTATGCTTATCAAGTTTGATTGAATTCTATGACAGGGTCACCAAAGTAAGACAAGAAAAGGATGGGTGGACTTCATCTTCCTATATTGCCAGAAAGCTTTAGATATAGTCACTCATAAGACTATTAAACAAGATAGACAGACAAGTGGGGAATAAAATAAAAGACACTGGACTGGATACAGGAGTACCTGATATAGTAAACTAAGGGTTAGAGAGGATATGTCAGGCTGGAGAAAATGGAAGGTGGAGTTACACATCTTTTTCCTAAGCCCATTGTTGTTTCTAATTTATGTAAATGACATTCCAGGAGTAAGTTTGTAAATGTTATTTTTTGCAAATTAGAAGAGTAAGAGGCAAAAAAGACTGTAGGGTGCTGCAAGACGATATTGACAAACTTCAGGAGTAGAGAGAGAAATGGCTGCTGGAATTCAAATAGGAATAAAGTCCTGAAAGATCTGCAAGGGAGATAAACTGAATTTAACTATGCCATAAGGGAAGGCAATTACAAGAAACAGTAAGAGAAAAACTACCTGGGAGTAGACATAATGTCAACATTAACACCAGAAGCTCATGTGAATATGATGGCATAAGCATCATATGGGAAGTTAGCAAACATAAGATCATCATTTAAGAATCTAAACAGGGAGGCTTTCAAATCCATACACACTGTATATGAGGGATTATGTTGCACCAGCATGGAACGCACATCTTGTGAGGCACAAAAAGAAACCTGAGAAAGCTCAGAAGTTTGCAACTAGATTAGTACAGTACTTAAATTGAGAAAGCTCAACTATGAGGATTGGTTGAGGAAAGTCACCTTCACAACTTTAGAGAAGAAATGGGATATAATTACTACATAAAAGATCGTAAGTAGAATAGACAAAGTGGACAAAGTAAGGCTATTTAAATTAAAATGAGGTAGGACATCGGTGGAAGCTGGACATGCAATCAAGTCTTTGAGATGTAACAAAGTTCTCGTTCCCTGTATGTGTGGTCAATAAGTGGAATGCACCAGCAAAGGCCCCTATGATGAACAAAGTGTAAAGGATTGACATCATTCATTTTGTCAACAGGGCGCCAACAAGAATGAGTGTGGTGACATTTGAAGACTACTAACTGCCAGGGTTGCCACCTGATGGCGTGCATGCTTGACAGACCAGTGGTTTCAATTCTGGTAGAGATTGTTTGCTTTGTTGGGACAGCATTGCTTATGTTTACCATGCAGTTGTTTGTCTGGTGCGCTCTACCTTTCTGGTAGTTTTGGTTACCGTGGTGATCCTGGATGTATTGAAGGGCACAGATTTTGGTTCCGGTCCTTGGTAGACACTTGTGAACCACTGAAATCTGGTGCAGTTCTCAAGTTAGTTAAGTAGGTTATGGAGTTACTGAGGGAGCCCTCCTCAAGTTATGTACAGTAACTGCATTATACTCAACAAAATAAATGCAAGAACTAAGCAAGCAAGCTTTAGATTAGGGTAGAAAATGAACCACACCAAAATTAAAAGAAGATTCTGCAAGTTTACAATTTGTAGCCTATGAATATCAACATTTATTATTGCTGTATACCATTCCTTATATTCATGGGTCAGAAGGTACAATCTCCAAAAAGATAAAGTACCTTAGGGCAAAAGTATGCACAGTATTAGAAGAGTGTTCAGACTGGAAATCTAAGAAATCATATGGTGAATATTTTCAGTTAATTACATGTTTAGAACATCTACCCTAGATCTGTTTTTCAATATAGGGGGTCATGTACTTTAGCTTTGATTAATAGTGCGTTGGGTGCAACAAGGACCATTTTCTTTAATATCTTGTGACTTCCCACAAACTTTGAATTTTAACATTACTGTAGATAATTCACAATAATGGGTTATTTCTATACGTGTTTTGTGCTACAGTACCAAGCACCATATTTAAAAGAACATTATATTTTCTAGCTTAGGAATATGTAATAAACTCTTATATATTTAATTTTTTGCAGGTGGTGGACTGGCAACCCCTGTTGTATGTGTTGTCATAGAAGGGGGACCCCAGACAATAAGACAAGTTCTAGAATATGTCACCGACTCCCCTCCAGTCCCTGTTATTGTTTGTGATGGAACGGGGCGTGCAGCTGACATCCTGGCATTTGTCCATAAGTAAGATTTTGCCTAAATGTGTGTATGTATTAACATCTTGCAATTGATCTCTCTTGACGGTAGTTAAAAAAATTTTGTGGAATCAGTTTTGTCTCGGTACACCTTCATGGTCATTAGATCCAGTAGCTAATCTTAAAAGTATCTCTTATCAGTATTTTGCACATTTAGCAATTTAGTAAACAAATGTCTCCTACTTGCAAATTTGAAAATACATCAAAGTCAGAAATGTTTCGGTTATAAAACAGATTTTGAGTGCATATGAAAAGCACTTTTCTCAACAGACTCACTTGATTGGCAGGGATAACAGAGTGATATCACTACAAAATATTGCTTACAAGTGTTACAATGAAAGGCAAAAAGATTGAAAGAAAACAGTTACCAAAACAAAAGATAATTGTTATTTTTTGTTAGAAAATTGTGATAAAGAGGACACATGGTTGATGACATGTAACCGTGGACCTTGGGTAAGATTGTCTGGAAGGGGGGAGGCAATTACCCTTCAAACTGCCCCCCAACATAAAGTAATTTTTTGCAGTTCTTCCATTGCTGAAGAAATTTGATCCAGCCCATAAAATTTATATATCCGGCCAAGTGTATAGTGACATTTGTTTACCCCCATGTGCCTCTGATGATCATATCTTTAACAAAATCCAGCATACCCCAGTGTCCCTTATGGACAGCTTTCTTGTAGCTGCCAACATTTGTCATGCACACTTTCAGCTCCGACTGCCAGCTTGCACAAGGGCGTAGGTGTTCCCTCACCACAAATCAGTTGAGGCCAGAAGATAAGAGCAGAGAGAAAAACAGTGGTGTCATCCCTGACACACACAACATGTAACACTTATAACTTCACAAAGAAGGCAGTAAAACAGACATTAAATTGCAGACCAATAACACTAACATTACACATTATAAAAATCTTTAAAAATACTGCCAAGAGTTAAGATTACTGAACACATAAGTCAACATCTACATAACCCAATACAAAAAGCATTTAAAGCAAGATACTTCTGCCTTTCACATATACTAGACCATTATGATATGGAAGAAAAATAAAATGCCAATGCGACATACACAGACTTCACAAATGCACTCAACAAATGTGACCATGACATAATTCCACAAAACTACCCATGAAAAGAGTAACTGTCAAAGTAGAAACCCATCTTCCTACTCCACCAGTTTAATTTTCTAAGGAGAGAATCCAAAGAGTTAGTCGTCGTCAAAGTAAATCTGGATTATCCATCATGAAAATCTCAGTTGCCCAGGGTACTGACTGTGCTTACTCCTCTATTCTTTCATTCTCGTATCAGACATGTGGTCACAATCCACAGTACCGTATCATCCTTTGCAGATTTAGGATTTTTATGAGAGAAGACACTGCAAATATGTAAACTGATGTAAACCAGGTCTTTCAATGTGCTACAGAAAACAACATTAATGTTCAATAAAGGCAAGTTCCTGCTCCTGTCTTATGGTATATAAAAAAAATCTAGACAGGAACTACTGTACATATAAAATGCAGTCAAATCACACTACAGAAATAAAAAGTAATATAAAAGACCTTGGAGTAATCATGTTGGAAGACCTTACTTTTGAAGAACACAATACAGTAATTGTCACAACTACAAAAAATGACAGGCTGGATAAAACGAACCTTTCAAATAAGAGATGCCAAACTAATGATGGTACCTTTTAAGACACTAGTGCTATCTAGGGTGGGATATTGTTGCACACTAGCAGCCCCCATTAAAAGCTGTAGAAATTGCTGACCTAGAGAGCATACAGAAAACCTTTACTGGCTGAATCCATTCAGTGTACATCTATATTGAGAACACGAACTCTCAACTGGAACCCTTTAGAGCACAGGCTAGCGAGATACATAATAATTTATGCATAGTAAATACGAGTGACTAACTTCAAATCTGCATGTTGAAGTTATTCCTAATGAGACCAGGAGGCATGGCAGAATATGCAAAATAGCAACATTAACCCTTAAACAGCACAACACATCATATGATGTGTTGAGTAACTTGCTATAAATTGCACATCACATCATATGATGTATTGGAGTACTACGCAAGATTTAAACGGCCCGCGGATACACGGGGTTCACCTCACCTTCATCAGGGCTCATGTAAACAGACGCCATTTTTTTTTTAAATCGTGGGCCAAATTCCTGGGTGTGAGGGCCTCAGTATTGAGTGAGCTGACTGACGCACGCAGCATGAGCTCACAGCACTGTTGTTCAGCTTGTGACCACAGCATCGCCTAAAAATGCCATTATATATATGTTCATGCTATTATTTAGTGATGATAATATTACAGAAGACCCCCGACTATGATAAAAATGACCAGGATTCTGATAATAGCAGGTTTGTTGTGATAATTAGCACTGTAGTGGGAGGAGTAATCTTGGTGGGAAGGGAGGTAGCATTGTCTGCTGACTCTATGTGATCACCTTTTACTGTCTGGACTCACTATACCAGCTTAGTTGTTCGCTATTGTGAACAAAACATGTAGATCATATGTATATAGTGAATAAAAACAAAAACAGTATTGTGGGAGGAGAATGGTGGCGAGTCAGATGAGGTGAGGGAAGGAGGGAGTGGCAGCCAGTGACGGGCTGCCAGGTCCTAGTAGTATTCAGGCAAAACGTAGGAGAGAGTGTACCCCAAAGAAAACATCACTGCCTAATGTGATAATGGAAGAGGACTCTCCTTCCAAAACAGTAACAACTCTCCTCCTCCCCGCCCCTCATCACCATTCCCTCTCTTGATGGCATTTTTCCATATGCCATCAAGAACCCTCTATAAAGGTAAGAGAAACTTTGGTACTGTATTGTAGTTAAAAAAAAAAAAACATTGTATTCAGTATAAAATGTATTTGTATGTTAATATTTTGAAGGGTAGGGAACGGATTAATTCAATTCCCTTTATTTCTTATGGGAAAAATCGCTTCGACTTACGATCCGTCTCTGGGAACGGATTAGCATCGTAAGTCGAGGCCCCATTGTATATTAGTCATAATCAGTCTCCGTGGTGCAGTGGTTAAACATTCGCCCAACATTTCGCGAGTGATTTGGCCTGGGTTCATATCCTGGCCGGGGAGGATTGACTAGGTGCTGATCCTTAGCTATACGCCTCTGTTCACCCAGAAGTGAATGGGTACCTGGTTGTTAAGTGATTTGACGGGTCATATTCTGGGGAAAATTAGGATTAAGGACCTGCCCAAGATGCTACGAGTGTTAGTGGCTTTACAAGAATGTAAGAACTCTTGAATAAATAAATAAAAAATTAATAAAAAAATTATTAGAACAAAAACTTCACTTTCCTTACCTCTTGAGTTCAGTAAGTACATGTTGAGTGGTAGATATTTTCTTCTCCTGTGATTTCTATGTTTCGAGGATAACAATGTGCTCTGTATACACACGGCAAACAGGAAAGCGAGGCATGTCTTCACATACCTGAAAAATAAGTACAAATCACATTATGTATTGATACCGAACATTGTCATTGTTGAGTCTCTAGTGCTGTTAAGAGATGTGTATCCTTCAAAAAGTATATACAGTACTGTCAAAGTGGTATGGGCTTGGACTCCAGTTACTCATTCTGTGTAATTCAGTCAGGACAAGTGATAGAAGTGATCATTTATGCTAGCGCCAACACTGATGATTCAAGGTATGACCCAAATGGATTCTCAATCTCAGTGGTGAACATACTGATGATGCTACATTTGGTCAAGGGACACATTTTGCACTCCCAATAATTATTATACAAGTCCCTCTACAGTACAACTGTTTTCAGTGAACCCCCTGAACACATTGAAGATCAATTATCCAAACGAATACTTCATGAATATGACACCAACATTGAACTATATACTGTATAAGATACCCTAACCCTACTGGACTTTCAAGTAGCCATAGACAGCATGTCCATGCACTCTGCACCAGACCCAGACTCTGGAGTTCTATGTTCATCAAGTGCAAAACACCACAATCACAGGCTCTAAACATCTTTTGGAGACAAGCCAAGACACTGGTGTTGACCAGACACTGGTGTTATCCCCTGATGTACCTAAAACAGCAGAGATCGAGCCACTATAAAAAAGGAGGTAGTAAAGCAGATGCAAAAAATTATAGACCAATAACCTTAATATCACATATCTTAAAAATCTTTGAAAGAGTGCTAAGATGATCACAAATCACATGGAATCTCAACATCTACATAACCTCGAACAGGGAATTACTGGCAAAGTATGGAATAATCTTTTAATTTCCTAATGAACAGAAATCAGAGTGTAATAGTCAATAAAGTAAAATCCGGATCATCCAGTGAAAGGCTCAGTCCCCAAAGGTATTGTACTGCTCCGGTACTTTTTTTCATCCACTTGTCAGACATAAACAAGGATACAAACTATACTATTACATCTTCATTTACAGATGATACCAAGATTTTCATGAGAGTAGACAATATAGAGGACACAACAAACCTCCAATCTGATACTTGGTACAGTACTTGGGAGTACCAAGTGAGCGGGTTCGAATCCTTCTCATGGCTCCCACTGATTTTCTCATTTTCTCCAATCTTATGATACTCAGGTCTTTCAATGGGCCACAGATGAAAATATGTTTAATGAAGACACATTCCAGCTCCTACACTATAGAAGAAAGAAAAATACAAAAATGGAAACAACATATTAAATGCAGTCAAATCACACTATAGAATGAAAAAGCAATATGAAGAATCTGGGAGTAATCATGTTGGAAGACCATAGTGTACCTTTAAAGAACACAATAAAGTAGCTGTCACGAATGCAAGAAAATAACAGGTTGCATAACAAGAACCTTTCTAAAAAGGGATGCCATACCAGGGATGGATACCCAAGGGATGCAATGCCTCTGGTCTTGAAAATAATGATACTTACCAAGACACTAGAGTAGATTGGGGCACAATAATAGCCCCATTCCGAGTTGACCAGGAGTGTGTTTAGGACAC